ATTATGCAACTTCAAACAGCTCCTCTTACACCGCGCAGCTCTCCGCGAATCATCCCCGCGCCGGAGCATCGGGGAGACTCCTGAGGCGTCTGCTGTGGCTCTTGGTCCCCGAAGCCACCGGCCTGGCGCGCGGGGCCTCGCGGCCGCTCCTGCCGCAACCGGCGGTGCTGAGATTGCTCCCGAGGGACAGCCCTGCTGCCCGAGGCCAAGGGGAGCCACCCGGGCAAGGACGCCGTGGCGGGCGGCAGCTGTCAGCCCACGTCTGGGTGCGCGGGGCGTCCTCAGCAGGGCCCGTCGCGCCCCAAGTCGGCAGGGACAGGCTCGCCTATGGGATGTGATCTCGGTGTCTCCCCCTTTCACATCCCAACCTAAGAGTCACCTCCTCGGGGCGCGGCCCCCGTTACGCCCCCCCCAGCCTCGCCTCTCCGTCATCACCTGTTTACGTCCGCCTGCTGCTCTGTGCTCTCCCCACGAATGTCCCTCTGGGAAGGGATGTGGTTCTGGCCCCATCCCCGTGGCGTCGGGTGCTCGTAGGATTTGCTCAGATGAAGGCCGCTCGAGTGGCATGAACGTGTCACTCCCAGGTAGAACCTGGCGGGCGCGTTTCTGTCTTCTCTTCCATGATGGGGGCGTCCATGGCGAAACCCCTCCTGGCTCTCCCTGCGGACGTCTCCGACCCCGGTGAGCACTTGGTGACGGGGCGTTAAATGTTCCTTATTTTCTGGGTGTGACTTGTTACCGCAGCTTAGCGTGTCCCAGCCTGACCGAGTCCTGTGCGCCCAGGACAGGCGGGGTGCACCCGGGACTGCTCCACCCCTTGCAGCATCCCTGGCCGTTAACAAGCGCCAGGCTCACGGCCGACGCACATTAACATTTTTATTGATGAAATAAAACCCTTCCGGAAGCAGGGTGCTCATCCCGAGTCGGGCCTTGACTCTGGAAATCTCCGCAGCACACCTTAGGCTCGTGGTGAGCTGGGGGTAGGCTGCGCTGTGCATGCTGAACCAAAATGGACTTCTAACCTCCGTCCCCCGCCCCCCACTGCGCAGCCCCCTAAACCGAGGCCAGCGCCTCTGCCTTTCTTGCCGAACGAGCAGATTTTCAGTGTGAAGCTCTCCTCGTAGCTATCCAGCTTGATTAGCCCCGCGTGACAGGAAGCCAGGCTGCGCTTGTTCTTTCTCCACAAAACACGGCGCAGAGAGATTGGGGTCTTCTAAGGTGGCTCCGTGGCGGAGAGCCCGCCCCGCTGACTTTCTCGGGCGTCTCCCAGCCTCCAGCCCACAGCCGAGGGACTATTAATAAAGACCCCGGTTTAGGGAGGAGGAGCCACTCTGAGCCAGATCATAACCTCTGCGTGTTCGGCGAGGAGCAGTGAAATTAAAGTGGATTTCCATCTGTCTCTCGGGCATCAGCTCCCGCAGCCTCCCAGACGTGCAAATGCTGCAGGGGCCGCTCCTCTGCCCGCGGGAGAAAGTGGCTGCGCTGCTGGCTGCGCTGCGACGACTGGCTGTGGCGGCCTCTGCTTCCCTCCTGGGCTCCTGGGGGGGGTGAAACCGTAGCGGTTCTCACCTGGGCAGCGCCGCCCGAGGAGCGTGGGCACATCGCGAGTGTAAACACCTGTTTCCCGAGCGCTCTCCCTCCACAGGTGCCTCTCCTAAGCTTGGTCTTGCCGAGAGCATCTAAGCTCGAGGTGCTCGGCTTCCGTCTGCCGCTCAGCCCCCGAGGCTCGCGGATGGACGGTGGTGGCCGCTGCCGGTGACCCCAGGCGGTCACGCCATGGAGCCCTGAGTGGGAAGCAGGTCCCCTGACGACGGGGCGACAAGCCCTTTCACGGCCTCGTCATTTCTGACTCTTGGCTTTTGCCAGCTTGGAAGGAGGAGAACCTCAAAACAGACCTTTACATGCTGCGCTGCTGACGGCCGACGAGCGCGCTGATCGGAGGGGGGTCGGGTGATGGAGATGCGCACAGACGCCGCCGCGCAGCGTCCCAGAGCCGGGGTGGAGCTGCTGGTGCCGACCCGGAGCCTCCCAACCGAGGACACACCTTCACCCGCAGGTGCAGGTTTGGGGGGAGCACCCGTTACCAGCTCAGGGGGACGGAGGCCCCCACGTGTCTTCTGCCAAGCAGAGGCGCGAGGCTCCAGGAAGTGGGGAGACGACCCGGTTCTCCTGTGGCTTCAGGGCCGGCTGGGGCCGGCAGCCATGTGCTGGTCCCGAACTCTCGGCGGGAGTGGCAGGCCGCGAGAGCCTGGAGAGGCCGGGGCTGCCCCCGCGCAGTGGCCTCTCGGGGCTCACACTGAGTGCTCCCTCCTCCCCCGTCTAGACGCGCTTCCTTGTCCCGTCCACACGGGGCCCTCCGGGGCCACACTTCCTGCCCCCTGAAGTGAGCCGTGGCCGCTCCTTCACGTGGGTCCATCAGCCGGACCCTCCCTGCCCTCAGTGAGCGAGTGGTCGGTCTTACCTGCAGCCACAGCTGAGCCGTGTCATCTCACCACCCCCTTGTCGCCCCTCGGCGCGTTGGGGGAGCCCTTCCGTCTGAATGTCGAATCATTATTTTTTAGAAGTTGGACCTTTTTAGCTTAAACCTGTACTGAGTATAATTATAACGACTCAGTTTAGAATTTTAAAAACCAGATTTGGAGACGTATGGGCAGAGCGGGGCGGCCGTGTGTTCCACCGAGGACTTTCAGACACAAAAATAGCTGGCGCTGGGCGAGCGCCCCTGGGGGGAAGTAAGGCGGAAAGCAAACGAAGGAAGGAAATCGGTCGAAGCTCCCAGTCTGGTAAGGAGAGGTCGTCTGTACATTTTTTCAAATGAATAATGGTGGCATCAGGTCTCCATGGTATTTAGATTCCAGTGAGTACTTTTAAAAAAGTGATAGAACAGTTTAATTTTAAAATGTCAATAGTTACAATATACTCGCGCCTTTGCAGCTTAGGAGGGAGAATTTTAAATGTCAGCTTTTGGCTGTGCTTGGGGATGCGGAGTTTCGTGAGAATCACTCTGGGGTGTTGCTCGCCGAGGCCTCCCCTCGGGGGTGGACACGCGCCACCCGTCCTGTCCCACCGCCCCGTGTGGCTTCTGGATTCCTGAAACGCGGCTGGGCCTCTCAGGACGGAACCCCTCGAATTTATTGATTTTGTTTTCATCTGTTTTAAATGGACGTGGCGCCACGTGACCAGGGAGCGCCTGTCCGTGGGGAGCCTTTCCAGGGCGCGTCCAGACGAGGTTGTCCGGCCAGCGCAGGCAGAGCCGCTACCGGCCTCTCCCCCGCCCCAGGCACGGCCGCCGCTCTGAGCGTGGCATGTCAGGGTCTTTCTGCGGTTCCGGTCACCGCCGAGCAGGGAGGACGAGGCTCCCCGCCGTGGCCAGAGGAAGACGTGGGACACCCTAGCAGTGGGGCGAGGCCCGGGGCCTCCGTCAGCGCCTGAGCAGGAGAGGCCGGGCAGTGGCGACCCAGAGGGGGCGGCTTTTCCTCCCGCCTGGGCTTGGGCAGGTGGTGGCGGGACCGTGGCTGCAGTTGCCGCCGAGGGCAGCTCCTCAGACAGCGGCGAGGCCTGCCCCGGTGGGCTCGGGGCCCACGGCCGGGGTGAGGCGGCCAGGCGCGCCGTGAGTTCAGGGGAAGCCGGAGCCTCACGGGCCGTGTCCGCCTCCGGTGACCAGGCTGCAATGCGAGCAGGAGACCCTCGTCGGGGCCTCGGGGTGCCCGTGGGGGAAGGGTCGGCCTCTTGCCAGGCCTGGGCCTTGACACTGCGCAGAGACTCTGCCAAGCCAACACGTGGGGCACAGGGGCTGGAGGAACCAGCTTGAGGAGGGGTCTGTGCTTGTGGCTGGTGCTGTGGGCGCTGTGCGGGCCAGGCTGCGCCTCTGCTTAGGGGGCCGGTGAGACCGTAGAGGCGATAGAGGTGGGCGGGGAGCCGACTGACAGGTACAGAGACCGGCGGTGGAGGGTGCAGGGTGGAGGACGGGCCCTGGATTCCAGGCCCACGAGTGTGTCCACACACGATTGTGCATGGCGTGAGAGTGCATGTGGTGTGCGTGTGTGTACGGGTGCACGGCAGGCCTGTGTTCGTGCTGATCTGACGACATGTCAGGGCAGCGCAGTTCCACTGTGATGAGTGACGCCTCTGAGGACCTGGCTTTGTGACCCGCGCCTCGTGTCTCTTACACTCAGTGTCCAAGAGCCTGTGCAGGGCTTGAGCGCACATGAGGGGCAGCCCGAGCCCAGCGTTGTCGGGGGACCCTCCCCCTCTGTGATTCCCCCGGACCCGCCCAGGCGCTTCATGTGTGGCGTCTGCGCCTTGTGGGGATGCCGGGGGCCAGGCCTGCGGGGCCTCCTCTCTCTGCTGCGGGGCCGGGCCAGGCCGCCCAGGAGCGGGGATGCGCGTGGGTGCGCCTGCCCCTGCGTTTGTCCCCGGGGCTGAGCGATCAGTCCCGGGGATCAGTCCCGGGGTGACAGCCACGTGAGAGGGTGCAGGGTGGGGCCTGCACCCCAGGAGGCTACGTGCGCATTGGGGGATCCCTCAAACCCACCGGCCGTCCCTGAGCTGGGCCGGCTTCCCTGCCGTGAGGGCTGAGTGGGGGCTGCGTGGGCCGAGGGCCGCTCAGGTCACGGTGAAGGAGACAAAGGTGACAACAACAGGGAGGGTCAGAGGCCTGTCCGCACCCCAGCCCCACCCACCTTCCTCTGCACTGTGACCCCCGATACCCTGGGGGTTTAGACCCTGGAGCAGATGCCCCAGGGCTCCGCCGGAGCTTCCGCAGCATGAAGCCGGTTCCTGTCCCTGCCTTGGCCTGGCCTGGGGCTTTGGGGTGTTCTTGTGTCCTGGCGTCCTGCCCCTTGCTGCCTCCTTGGCCTGGGCCGCCTGGTCTGGGGGGAGCAGCAGGCCGTGGGGGCAGGGCCATGGGGGGCACTGGGAGGGGCGGGGGGCAGCCCCGCGGGCGCCAGGAGCTCAGGCCACCGTGGCTCGGGCTCAGCTCCCGCGTCCTGTCTCCACAGGGCCAAGGTGAAGAAGGGCGTGAGCATCGTCGGGGTGCGGGCCAGCAGCCCCTCCGTCTGGGAGGTCAAGGCGAGCACGGACCACGCCGGGAAGCACGCGCCGGCCGTCATCGAGTGCCGCAGGACGTCGGCCGGCCCCGGGGACAGGTGAGTCCTCACCGTGGGCTGCAGGGCCCCCTCAGGGAGCGGCTGTTCTCTGGGCCGCCGGGGCGCAGGGTCAGCCCGGCCTCCGGCCACTGCGAGGTCGCCCTGCAGGTGGGGCTGACCGCCACGGGCCCGCCCAGGGCCTCCTCCGAGCCAGCTCCAGTGCAGGGCCCTGGCCCGGGTGAGGGCCCCGCGCGGCCCGGAATCCCTGCACTGTTGCGGCGGCGCCTGTGTGAGGCCGTCCGGGCCCGCGGGCTCCGTGGGGAGTCACTGGGCACTGAGCCCCTCGGCAGGGAAATGGCAGCGGACCCTGGCCCGGAGCCTGAGAGGGACACAGCTGCCCACGGCCGGCGGAGGTGCTCACGCGGTGGTTTTGAATTAATCCTGTTTCCTGGCCTGATTCTCGCTCCCCAGAGAATCCCCGCCCGGCCACGAGGGGTCGCCCCCGAGGGTGCCGCGGTTCCACCGACACCAAGCAGGACCCGCGATGAGAGGGGAGACCCCAGGGTGGCGGCGCCTCGTTTCTGAGGTCAGAATTTTAGGCTTAACAAGCTCAGCGTTTGGAAACAAGCCGTTTCCCATTGTCTAGTCCAGCATGGAGGCCGCATCCGCTGGTGGCTGGTGCACCCCGGCTTGTCCCAGGACACCCCGGCCAGTCCGGGGGGCCCTTTGCTCCTCGCCGGCACCCAGGCATGTGAGTGGCAGGTCCCGCGCTCTGTCGCACGCCTCTGGGGCCAGAGCACCCGATTTCTTCTGGAAGCTTTGCCTGTAGAGCAAATAGCGGGGAGGAGACGCCTGCGTCTCACCTGGGCCATGGGGCGTGTGCCGCGATGTCCACCGCTGGGCAGTGCACCCCCCAAGCCAGCACGGCGGCCGCAGCACAGCTGGCGATGGGTCCTGCCCGAACACATGCTTCCCTCATGACGTGAGGGCTGCAGTAGTTAGGAAGGATGGACGGACGCATAGATGATAAACAGGCAGCTCGAGCCATAGACGGACAGATGGACAGACGGACAGGCACACGATAGACAGCTTATTCTTCACCAGAAGAGGAGTTGGCAGGAAGGCGCCACCACTGTATTTTGTGTGCCCTCTGCTTCCGGCCCCTGCTCTGCCCCGCGATGCTGACGGTGGTGATGGCGATTGCCAGGGTGATGGGTGCAGTATTCGCTACGACACACAGAGGGATCGGAACCGTTTTAAAGCTTTTAATTTTTTTTCTGGCCTTGAGAGTCTAGTGAAGCGCTAGTGTCAGCCGTCCCGGCATGGAGCGGGAGGGAGCTCCCAAGCACCAGCTTGTCCCCACGAGGTGGACGCAGCCTTCTTAAGGACGAGCTCGATCAGGTGCTTCCAGAACCTTCCAGATCCTCCGGCAGCGCAGAAGCACGGCGCCTCCAGGTGGGCCTCATGAGAGTGTGGCACAGATGTGGGGACACAGTGTGTGCCCAGCACGTGCAGATCGTATTACACGTGTGTGCCTTACACGCTGGGCATGCACATGCTCTCTGTGTCTGTGGTGTCTGCACAGGGTGTGTGCGCGTGGTGCTTGAACAAGCGTGTGCACACATGTAGCTGTACGTGTTTCTGTATGCGCACCTGTGTTGGTGAGGGCCTGCTGACCCTCTGGACTCTGGCTCTTGCACGTTGCCCAGTGAGGGTGCTGCAGCTGTGGACGCGACCTTAGCACGCCTGCTCACACCTGCTCCGCGGAGCTGGAGCATGGCAGTGTGGACAGGGGGGAGCAAAGCGGGGTGCTTTGGGGGCAGAGGGACTGGCGACTGATTTCTGCTCAGAGCTGGGATGCGGGGGAGCAGGCTGGAGGCCAGTGATGCTTCCTGTGAACCATTTGGGTGGTGATTTGCTTACAAGTGCACATTACCTGCTTCGTGGGATGCCTGCGATTAAAACAGAATTTTTGAATATAATACATTCATGAGTATGGTCAGCGTCTCGCCTCACTTCAGGATTTTCCATTTCACGCCTCTCACCATGTGGTCAAGGGAAGGCCCTGTCTGGGGCGCGGATGGCGGAGGAGGGTGGCTCCCCCATCTCGAGGGCACCCGGGAGGCGTGTCGGGGAGTGGCTATTTTCACGTAGGTAGGTTTTGCTTCAGAAGCTGTTTTGCTTTGTAAGTTCTTCCTACCCTCTTTAGATGTTTTCCAGTTATTCTTAAAAGTCAGAGCCTGGTCATCGGAACGCAGAGGGCCACTCTCCGTTAGCTCGAGCGCCCCAGGCCTCGTGTTGCCGGTAACTCACCGTGGGCCTGGAAGGCGCATGATGGGACTGAGCCGGGTGCCGGGTATGGATGGTTTCATGGATCGAGGCGTCTCTTTGGTGCTCTTGATGAGTTCAAGGGGCGTAAGTGGAGACCTGTCGCCTAGTTGAGATACACGCCTCCCTTTCTGAAGAAGTGTAGTTGCTGAAACGTACCGTCGTGGCACTAACAATGGAATGTTATCACGGCCCTCAGATCTGTTTTGACTGAGCTTTCCCAGGAAACGCTGCAGAGCAGAGGCAGAATAACTAACTGCACTGGGCCCTTCAAATTACAGTTTGCGTTTCAGATCTTGCTCACAGTAGCGTGACTTAAACTCGGATAAACGTGTCACAGGAGCCCTGTATTTGTATTATTTTGCTCTTCCCTGCCCAGCTGGGTGCTTGCCAGGGTTTGCCATGGTTGCTATTTAAGGGATTTTCGGTGGCATGTAGGAATGGGATTAAACAAGCTGGGATGTCAGAAATTCACATGCTTTTCTCCAGGCATGCTGTGACCACAGAGAAGCCCGCCTCCTCTGGGCGCTCGTGCGTCTGCGCCCCTCCTGCCGCATGCTGACGTGGCACACAGGCGCATAAGTCCTTCTTCCTAATTATCTTCTGTTTATTTCATTCAGTACTGATTTTCCATCGACTGCATGTAAGATATTTCATTTTAAAACAAAGTTCCTGTAAGAACAAGAGTTGGCATAAATGAAAAAGAATGGCTATTAAAAATATAGACAGCTGTGATTAAATTGAACGTATGTTCAAAGTTAGCATGCGCTAGCATCAATGAACGTGTCTCCTCCTGTATTATTTAGGATTGGGTTTGAGCATTTCATCTTTAATGCAAATCAGAGTGACGAAAAGTGGCTGGTTTCTCCGTCACATGGAGGAAGCCCTGATGCCAGGGCTGGCTGGCGTGGCAGCTCCACACTACCCCAGGGGCCCGGCACGGAGCCCACAGCAACCCGAGCTCGCGTCCGGCTTTGATCCTCATAGATCACGATGGCTGCTGGAGCGCCAGCCACCACCGCACGTTTCAGGCCAAAGAAAATGACCCAACAGGGTCTTGTCAGCTGGATCAGCTCTTCAAAGAGCTCATGCTGGCCTCCAGTTCTCTCTTGCTGTCGGGCCTGAATTCCAGGACCACGCCAGGTTTCTGAGGCACCTGGGGATGTGTGTTCTGGGCCGTGGGGTGCCCGGCTCAGAATCAGTTTTCTGCTCCAAAGACAGAAGAGCAGACTGGACAGGTTTGGCAACCAGAAGGTTCTGTGTCTGCAGTTAACTCGGAACAGGTGCTGTGGGGTTTCCCGTGGGAGGGCGAGAGGAGCACCATGTGAGGGCGTGGGGAGATCACGTCAGGACGCCCAGGCGTGGAGGGGCCGTGTTGGAGCGCACAGGCCGGCGGGGCGGGAGGGGCACACACAGGTCAGTAATCCCATATGTGCATGAAGAGGACCAGGACTGGGGGGTGCCTGGACGTGGGGCACAGGTATCTGCTGGCTCAGGAGTGGGCTGTGGTGCAGGCAGCAGGAGCGTGTCGGGGGGGGGGGTGCAGGACCCCCGGGCAGGTCGCTGGCACAGGCCGGGCCCCTGGGCAAGGACATTGGTGCAGCAGGAGCCCAACAGGCAGACCCCGCGCTGCATGGGGACACGCAGAGACACCCTCAGAGACCAAGGCCGCAACTAACTGCTGTTGTCAGAGCGCCCCGTCCTGCAGGAGCAAGCCAGCCAGAGGACGCACCGGGGCCAGGCGCACGGAGCTGACCCCGCAGGGTGCTGAGCTCCCCACTCGATGTGGGCGCCGTTGAGCGAAAACTTCGGGAGAGAGAATGAGAAAGAAATAAGAAATACCCAGAACGCAAACGGAGAGAAGAAGGACCACGGGAGCGGGTGGGGCAGCAGGTACGGCCCGCGCTGCTGGCCACACCCCTGAGACTGAAGGCAGCGGCCCCGGCCCGTGCGCACGGCGTGCCCGCAGCCACCCGCAGCAGCCGGACGCGCCGGGTGGCGAGGGGGGTGGTCCGGCCACACGGAAGGTCGGTGAGAAAGAGCAGAGACGCCCCGGCAGGCCCTGCGCCCTGGTGGGCCTTGAGAGGCGCCAGACAGAGCAGCCAGACAGAGCAGCCCACGGAGGACAGTCCGTCCCGAGCCGCGCCCGGAGGAGCTGGACCCTTCCGTCCCGCAGGTGGGAGCAGGAGGCAGGTGGGGGCCCGGCGGCCGGCGCGGGGCCGGCGCTCTTCTGAGAGGAGACAGTGGGTTGGGCCGTTCAAAGCCTGTGACTCGACCAGGCGCCGCTGGACGGCAGTAACGGTGGGTTGAGGGTCCACCCGGACTCACTGCTGTGGAGGCCAGTGGGGACAGGCGCGCGGGAGGTGCTGTCCATCTGGGCATGTGGTGAGCCCCCCAGCCAGCGCGGCCGCTCCTCGCCCCCGGGGCACCGCCGGGTCCTGCCTCCCTTCATTGCTCACTTTGTGTCTCGGAGGTTCCCGCAGCGGACACGGGGTTCACGGGGGTGAGCACGGGCTGTGCTGGACACTGGGGGACCCAGAAAGCTGAGAAAGCAGGTCGCGCCGTGGGGTGTGTCTGGGGGCCCGGGCGACCCCGCGACTCCGAGGAGGACGCAGCTCTATTTTGGGGACACGCTGGCTGCCGCGCCCGAAGACAGCAGCGGAGAGATCCGGCCTTTTGTCTTTTGTCTCGGGCAGAAATTACTTGTCGTGGAGACTTTATAGATTGTTCTA